TTCTCTCTATTCATCCATGTTTGTTCTATTAGTAAGTGAATGCAGTGTTTTGCCCCCATCAAGGCTCCATACATTACTTATAGTTTAAAGAGCGTATTTATAACGCACATTGTATAAAATGTCAGGGTTTAGACAACTCATAGTGTGTTTTTCTGTTTTCTAAATAAATTACCCTTGTAGAATTCCCTGTAGAACGGAATGGAATATTCTCCATATCAATGACCTTTATCAAGTGTCATATTTACTCAATACATAGTGTCCCCCGATCTTGCTTTATTTAGTTTTACACACATAGACTTACAACGTTATCATTATAACAAGCAAAGTTTTAGCAATTTTCATATCAATAAACTCCTAACACGGTCAAGGGCGCTGCATATTATTGCCCTGGTTAGTTTGCCATATAGTGAGTCACACTTATCAGACATCTCAGCTCCCAAAGAAGCTTACAATCCTGTATTTAGTAATACATACATACACAGACTTACAAATCCAGTCAAGTAATTGGAAATTAAAAGTAAATCTATTACTTAAAGAAAAGATTCTCGGCACATACTTTTAAACTACTTAGAAATGTGTGATATTGGTTGTATACCTGTCATTAACATCTGAACATTGGACTTATAATTGAAATTATGAAATAATTAAACCAATTCAGTGAGATGAACTGAGAAGTTTAGTAGAAAATACTTTACCTAAATCAGAATTCAGTTTATATGTTTTAATACAATTAAATTTCAAATAGACGACAGTGTAAAGCCCGGAATTATATGACTATTACACACATCGAACCAATGAGTCAAGTATCCAACATTTTGTAAAAGGAGTGATTTGTGTTAGTCAAATAGTATATAATATTATATAATAGCAGATGCTGAAAATCTCGATAAGGGAACCAATTTATCTAGACTTGTATTAGCAGTATTAAAACATTTCAGTCATCTGACTGATTTCCGTCATTTTAAGGAAGAAATTATTGGATACTTGAACTTCATAAAACACCAAGCAAATCAGGATTGTTTGATCATTTAATTTGTCTATCTAAAACATTATAATAAATTTGGGCTTCAGAAATAAGACGGCTGTAACTGCTGTAATGAGAAGATACTTGCAAGATTCACAGTGCATTACATATGTAGTCTTTCATAATATCTACGTTCTACAATTGTGTCAGTTCTACAATATCAATCCATGGTCCCAAACAGTCTGTCATGGTTTTCCTGTCAACACGAGGTACGGTTTGCAACTGAGCAGGCACTGTACTACTTGCGTATCTGGTGAGCCTAGCAAGCATCTCCAGCACTATATCTTCTCTTTCCAAAGACAAATCTGTAGTTTCGGTAGGATCTTCATCCAAATTATATAATCGAACCATACGTTTTCTGTCGAAGTCTGTATCAATGATCGATTTCACGGGTGGGTTTATTTCCGGTGGCTGAAACCATCTGTTGTCACCTGTAGAATGTAATTAACCAGATCAAATTTTACTTTTACAATCAATCAAAATTCCAAAGGCACTGACAGATTTGTTAGACAATGTGTTAAACGGGAGTAGTTGATACTGTATACAATGTCCATTGACGAGATTGAGAAAGATACAATCAAACTAGACTAAGTGCTACATGACATTACTATACACACCGCTACATCTCAACAGAACAGATTCGCCCGAGCTTATACATGTATATCAATATCAATATATTTAACAAAGCTGGCAAGGATTAAATAAATGTAACTTAGTAATGATATAGTGATTATAATTGGAAAAAATATCAAGCTGAATATCAAGGGCTTTATTTATATGTTAATATATTATGACAGAAAGGACTACCTACCGTCGTTTTGTCCAGTCAGTAATTTCCACTTCCCCATTTTGAGAGCAGCCAGAGTTGTTATGTCAAAATCATTAGTTCCATATATGCCAGTTCTATACTTGCTTACGGCTTTCCTTGTTGTGTCAAGAGCAATTAACACGTCTTCGCGCGGTGATTTCGCTAGTCCCCTGGATCATCAATGAACAACAACAAAAAGATAACAGGGAAAATGAAATTCCTTCACCGCAATGTTCTACAACTATGTAAATACTTCACTTTAAATAAACAACAATTGTGCGAACTATTTAGATTTGAACTTCCCTAGTAAACAGAAAAACACAAGTGGAGATAATGGCTAATTTGCATAACCATTCACTCAGTAAGAAGTTTGCTAATGCTAATAATTAAAATGGCTTAACAGCCCCAAATTTAAACCTATTATTGTTTTGTAAAAAGTTAAATATAGTGCATAATATGGAGATCCCGTCATTACTTTTTTCACTGTTTCTTTTCGATTATTTATGTACAGCCTTGCTAAATCTTGCTAAGCATTCAAAAGAGAGAATGTTTGTATCTGTTTTCTATATTTTAAAATCGTCTTTTGAGTATGTTCCACTATTCACAATGCTGCCAAATTTTAACAGTCTATAGCCGAGACTGTTTGGATAATAAAAGGCAAAGAAAAATTCACTCCCAAGTGCCCACGAACCTGCATCTATACCTTAAAACTAACTTTCTTGACATTGTTCATTCTTCAATTGATTACAGTCGAGTGCTAACTAAACATGATAAAAATACTGTCATATAATCAAGAGAAAGGTAAAGTACATGGGTGACAAACAATGCTAAGTCCAGGTCTGGAGGTATACTCCAAAATAAAAGGGACAATGCAGTTCACGGACTGTACTCAAATTTAAATCACTGCAGATATTCTATGATCAATTTATATGATCAATTTGTATCTAATTGAGAGACAATTGGAACAAGAGTATACAACGTTGTGCGCTCAGATTTTAAAATAAGAACCAATACATTTTATGCAAAAATTGAACAGGCAATGCGAGAATATAAACAGAAATAAGAATTCTTAACTTACATCATTAGACATATGCTGATGGAATACAACTGTATTTGAACTACAGATACGACGGCGTACTGTCCAAGTGCATACTTTGAGGTATCCTCGTAATAACCTTATTATTTTATATTATTATCTTTTCCTTCCAAGGATACATCATGGAAATGCCGAAATCCAAAATGTTCAGAACAGAATAAACGAAATTCTTTGTGTGTGGAGTCCGGTAAAACCCTGGTGGCAGCCATGTTTGTTTTTATTATCAGAGGACGCTTACGGGAGTAATAAGTCCATATTTGGAATTCGCATTTCCTAATATGGTAGGATGAAAATACCCCGTAAAATACCGCAAAATTGCGGCACGCTGTAACTTGTGGCGTTAAGGTGACAGATGTATAATAATAGTGTATATGTTGTGTTATTTGTAAATAATACATTCATACCTTATCACGCCCCACTGACTAACACCATATAATAACTCCTCTGTGTGAATATTACCGCCACTTATATCTACTAATGTAGGAAACCAATCAGTGATATGCATCAATTCATTGTTGTCAGTGCCACGTGCGTTGGTCGGTAGTATTTCACTGTAAACGAATCCAAGGGCTCTAACGCCACCTTCCCAGTTTGAAGCTTTCCATCCTCTCAAAGGCCAGTTGTTTCCACTGTATAATGGATCACCGCCATTATCTATTAGAATAATAATAATAATAATAATAATAATAATAATAATAATAATAATAATAATAATAATAATAATAATAATAATAATAATAATAATAATAATAATATGGGGTTATTACAAGGTATGCACAAAGACAGTACAGCGGTTATATCGGCCGACGCGCAGCGGTGGTCGATGCGACGGTGTACTCTCTGAGTGCATACCTTGAGGTATCCTCGTGATAACCTTATTATTATACATCTTTTCCTTCCATGCGTAATCATCCCATATTTGGAATTTAGCATAATAATAATAATAATAATAATTATATTAGTTACAATATTGTAATTAGTTACAATATTGTAAACATTACCAGATGTGAAAACAATTATACTGTTTTTCAACATGTCTTTATTTTCCAATGTCTCGATGATATTTGCTATTGCTTCATCCACACATGACACCATCCCTGCATATATTCTTCTGTCTGTGTCATCTATGGTTGGTATATATTCCTTTTCGTAGACAGATGGAACTTGTAGCGGCTCATGGACCGCCGAAAATGACATGAAAAGGAACAGCGGCTGCGAGAGAAGGTGACAGTTATAAGATTTCTGCTTAAATAAAACATTCGTTAAACAGAACGTTATAGCAACGTACATTGCATTGAACTACACTGCATTGTATTTATCCTGGTTATCTACCCACTTCTGAATCAGGTATGCTTGTCATAAGTGTGGATGTTATGCTTGATACAGCAAGCACAATTAACTAAACATATTGTGTCTCAACAATCTATGCTTCATCTAACCTGAACTTGAAAATAATGTTTTTTATTTGAATTAACTCTGTCTGCATTAATAAACTTAGATTTACCTTATTTGTATCATGGTTGTCGATAATAGTCGTCCCCTCGTTCCCATACATGATTGTTGAATAATTACCATAATATTTGTCTGCTACACACAAATCGTTCCGTCTCAGATCCGATATGTCATGCACCATGTGGGTATAGTGATCTTCTTTTGAGTCGACAAATCCTAGAACACATTAAATATTGCACGATGAAGTTATACACTGAATAAAATGTTATTTAAAACAACACAATACCTAATACATGACATAGTGCGATAACTTCTGTAGAGAAGGAATACACTCAATAAGTAATGACTGGTGTTTCTAAAATAGTAAGCATATTCACACTACATATAAATATAGCCCCTGCGAGAAAGTTGGACAGCGACTGAATCTATCAGATGTTATGTTTGATTTGTCTGCTTGTCCGCTTCATCAGAGTGTTTAACGAGAAATTAAATGAATCGGGAAATCAACTGAAATACACATTGACAAGGCAGGATCAAATCTATGCAATGTTATTTTCAAACACGTTTCGGGTTAATGCAAATAGTATGAATATATTCGCTAGCTTTTGTTACAAACATAAAGTGACAGCTCTAAAATAACGCTGTCATTCTTCAGATTGTATTCAATTTTTCATTATATATAGAAAGTATCAATTTGATTAAAATAAGATCCTGGTTTTGGCTTTTTTAAATTAAATTGTTAAAAATATACCGAATCACAAGTACGTAACACAAAACATGAAACAAATACAAAATAATTAAAAAAATTAGTAAAAGTAAAATAAATATATAAAATAAAATACACGCCGTACAATACGGCATCAGATTTTAATCAGATTGAGGAAGTATAGTATATGCTCACCGAAAAACGTGTCAAATCCTCTATTGTGTGGGAGAAATTCTTTTGAATAAAATCCACAATTCCATTTTCCAACGAGATGAGTTGAATACCCAGCTTCTTTTAATTTATTTGCAATAGTTGTTTCATTCAAAGGTAAACCACGTGGGTAGCCCATGATTACACCATGCTGTAAGCCAATGTCAATCTAGAAATTAGCAAAAAATAAACAAATATTGTAATGGTTTTTTAAAACATATAAACATTTACCAGTATTTTAATTACAAACATTCACAGTTGCAGCAAATAATAATGTGTTTAAACTACTGGTATGAGGTAATTCTGAGCTAGAATTGCCAGATTCGATCGGTATTATGCACAAATAGAGGCTAAATGTAATAAGCGCCTTGATAGAAGAATAAAAATATTGGACAGGTAAATAGTGGGAAAATAACCAACACTATCTCTGCTTGTCCGCTCGGAGTATCAAACGATCTGCGCAATACTTTATCCCAGCACTTCTCGATGCATACATCAACATGTTTAAATATGTCTTCCGAAACATACACATTTTATAAAACACAGCTACCAAAGTATTTTGAAAATGTCATAGCGTCTATCAATGTTATTCAATAATACATTGTGGCTTCAGTATCCTTGGGAAACGTAACAACTAGAGAAACTATTTTTCAATCTTATATAACTATGGGAAGAGGACTCTGGTTCTACTTAAAATAGCATTACACATATACCCCGGATGTTCTCATTATATTACAATGTGGCAACTTTTCTAAATGTTGACATAATATGTTGTCCTTACACAAAATATCATATAACTGGTACTGTTACAATGACAATGTGAAATTTAGATTTTTGCGGAATTAAAAACAATAATAATTCAACATGTATCTCCTACACAAGAAAAACATCTATTCGAAAATCAGTCCAAGTCACGTCAGTACTAAATAATTCGAGGCAATCGAGAATAAATAAGGATAGTTTTATTTTACATTTATTAAATTGACAATATGACTTGTACTGCATTCTGATTGTTAAAGTGAAAGTTTTCGTTTTATAAAAAGCAGTACTGTGCACGCGTATCAAAATACTCGACAGAAAAGGTAAATTCGAGGCACATGCAAACTTACAGGTATAATTTAGCGCATGCAGCAAATGGAAACATTGTATATACGCTAGAGTTATTAGTTTGCCTATTCAATTATACAATATAAATGAGAGTACGAAGCGCATATATTAACCACACTCACTCAATGTACCATTTTTAATTATGTTAACGATATCGATTACTTCTGGTCACGAAATTTATTCAATTCCCGAATTTTATTTCCGATCAAACCGCGTACCAAAGGGTTGCATGTCCTTAGATGTCAATATTGGCTTGACAGGCAAGGTACAACACGTGTCTTGTTTTTGTGTTCTAAATTTAACTGCGCATCAACATGTAACGTAAATTATCAGAAAGATACTATATACGGTATGTGTGTATTCATTAGCCACGACCAAGGTCGTAAAAACACAGCATTGCGTGCATTGAAAAGCGTGAAAACAAAGATCATTAGAGAACAGAGAGAACAGCTCGTGTAACTTTAGCATTGTTAAAAATATATGAATAATACCTTTTAACCTGTCAATACAGTGTAAACGCAGTAATTTTAACAGAAATTATTTCAGCTATTCGATGTTGCGTGGATGTTCACTAGATTTTAAATTCATTGGTTTGTAAATTAAAATATTCTAAGTTTCTAGTTACTTTCGTTGAAAATAAAATCAAAGGAATAGTATAGTCTATTATTATAATAGTAGTAAACATTTATATTCATCACCACTGTGCAGATACAAAAATCATAATACTATGGCTTAAATTTTATACGCTTTTCCAAGTCTGTAAACTTATTAACCCTAATCACATATTCACGACGTTATTGGTGCGGTTTACTGATGAAATTTAATAATCCTCGCATATATTAACGACGTAAACGGAAATATGTTGTTCAAAATAACGATTCTATGATAGGCAGAATATACATGTACACACAAACTGACCAATGCAATATACTTTCCATGCAATACATTGAACACAGTGCGTATCGGGTACGACGCGAATGAGAACAACTTACCACGTGTCTGCCAGACATCAACATATTTCGCGATGGAACGCAGAGATTAGCAGCATAATAGTTATTTAATTTCACACCATTATTTGCAAGCCGATCAATTGTAGGAGTTTTTATGTATAAATTATGATAACCGACATCATTCCACCCTAAATCATCAACCACAATAAATATAATATGTGCTTGATCAGAACTTAGACCATCAATTAGCAAACAACTTGAAGAAAATACGACTAAAAGCACGGAAATGTGTGATATACACATGACTGAATATAAATCAACATCGCTTAGATGCTCAACAGTAATACATTATGTGTATTACATGGCAATGCCTAATAACTCATTCTTTAGAAATATGTTCATGCAGATTTGGATAATCCATAGAGAATAGAATATATGACATTGTCACAATGTGGTGACAGCTGCTTTCTCATTAATGTGTATTTCTCATAGGGCCAGGCATCATGTGTGCGGAATCAAAACACAATTAAACAACTTTTAACTGATTTTCAGATTTAATAAAATTTGATTTAGCTTAAGGTAGCATGACTATTATTTGCATACTTGTTTTCATCTTCTAATTGTGACTAAATGGCTACAAAAAGACCAAGGAAAGTACATTTTCTAGGAATCGCCAGATTTCAAGCTTTTCAAAAGTGTGTGTGCTTTATAGTTTCTATAATATTTATTTTTGAGAAATGTTGGGTTTAAAATGGGAATTAATAAATCCTGCAATTGGACATCGAGTATACATTCTTTCAATGTATTGCGATTCTGGACTTTGAATACATATAACTTTACATGTTCAAATATTCTACTCTAAGAAGCCTGGTAAACAAGGGACCAACGAGAATCATTACAAACAATTTTCCCCATCAAACAAATGTGAAAGGCAACTGTAAAGCGAACAATTATAATCATTTTTCTGCGTAATCTGGAGTTGTTGACTGACTTTGTAGGGTCACCTCAAAGGGTAGACTGTATGGTACATATACAACAATTGATTTTCAACTGCAACCTTAGGGAGGCATTATATGTAATAATAGGTGTGCTTAAGCCAGTACTTAAGATAGGCTTAATGTTAATTACGAACAAGTCATTTTAAAAGGTGAAGTTTATGTTTGTGATTTCAGAATTTACACTGCTGGTCACATTGGTGTTGAATTTGAAAAGAATTACACAAATCAATTACGCATCTAAACATAAAAGTAGAATCAAGATAGCAGTTGTTAAAAATTCTTCAGTAAGCAATCCAATCTGCCGGAGATACTTAACATTTACAATAAACTTAAGAAGAAAACATCTGATTATTGACAAATATTTTATTTGTTGTTCTTATTGAATTATTTTATTACAATATTTGTGGAGAAGCTGAATCAAGTAACAATTATCAATATTATGCCTCCATGTATAAGATAGTAGTGGCATGTGAATATTATTAAGACTTATTATTCAATTTTATTATGAGTTGATATGTGTAATACAACACATGTATATGCGCATTTATTCAAAAAAACCTTCACCTCAGTCAGTACAGTACACAAAAGGAATTGTATTCATGAATATTTTGTTCCTAATATATGTTATCTGGATTATACTGCTGAGATT